TGGAATAGGTTTCTCATGTATCGTCTTGGTTATGGAAATGCTATAAAGATAATACTACTAACATTCTTACAAAAATAAACTTTAAACGTAAAATTACTAAAATACCTATGAAGTTTTTGGAATGTAATGACACATCTTCATCTACAGGTATTCACCAAGAAACATCACTTGATACTAAGAAGGTAACTCCTATACATATTCTGGAACGTCCAATTGGTCTCTAAGATCATAAAGACCATAAAAATTGATACATCAAGTTTTGTCAAGTCAGGTTAATTAAAAATAATTTTCTTCAACAAATTTCTCCATATCCTTGAACAAAATTTCAATGTCAATATAGTTTTAAATAAAAATAAAATTCATCAAAATTAAAAAAAAAAAGTATAAAAATTGATAATGATGATACTTACATATATCTTGACTTATAAAATAATTGCAAGCCTTGAAGAAAGATTAAAATATTAAAGAACTTACCATGGACCAATTATCTTATCACTAAAAGTTCTTGAGTGATCCTATTTCAATCACTCATCCACGTCTTCCTGTACATAATACCCTACTAATATTCATTTTACATATCCTTGAACTTATGAGTAGTTGCGCGATTAATATTTGAGTAGTATAATTAATATTTTAAATTGGCATACTTTACATCGTTGAATAGTAGATTTTAAGAGTTCTAATAAAGGAAAGTTCTTCTTCAGAAACTCTTCTAGTTTATACTATTCATTTCGTTTTACATTTTTAGTTTCAGAAACAAAATTTTTTTTTATAATTTTGAGTAACTTATTCCAAACAAAATTTATTTTAACTGAAATACATTGTATTCTGATTTAACTTAACTATTTATATTGACATCTAATCACTAACTAGATTGAAAATATTTATTATATTTCTTAGTATCATGCTATGCAAATAGTCATACAATGAAGGCACATTAGATTAACTATCTATCTGATCATAACCATGAAAACATGTTATGCAGGCAGTTAAATCACAATTGTCTATTTCATGCTGTTATTGATATTTCTCCCTCAAGGTCATAGGTTGTAATTTTTTTCTTTAAATAAGCTCTATAGATTGTGGAGATTTCCAACACTTATTCATTTATATATTAGATCTTACTATGTGTTGGATCGATAGTGGGCTGTACTATTGCTATTAATGACGTTGTTTTGAAGGATCATATTAGGCATTGTTAGACTACATTTCTTTTCAGAAATTAAATTTTGTGGTGTTCGGTTTTGCTATAGAATTTACCATATGACGTATTTCAAGGGTATTTAGCATAGCGACTCGTATATATTCTATATGTTACTATAACGTTGGACTTGTAAATTAGTGAAAAATGACATAATAGTCAACTTTGACTTTAATACATTCGATGCATTATTAGAATTTCTTGTCTTTTGAAAAATAGAATATTTTAGACCTACAAAATATTAATTAATTACAGAGATTATACTCGATTGATGTTTATTGTTTAAAAATAATTTTTTAAAATTTGAAAATAAAACCTTATTGATGATTTGACCCAATTTTGGAGAATATGATAGAGGTGAATATATCACCGTATAAAATATGACTGGTTTAGCTGATTTAAATGGATCACTGATTACTTATAACCTTTTTTAGCTGATAAGAAATATTATCTCTCGATTATTCTATCATCTCTCACTTACAGTAAAATTGAAATTTTTAACACAATAGCAATCTCATGCACCTTTATTTGAGTATCCCCCATCTTTAGGGTATCTAGAGTTGCTTGGTCATTTGAGCATCCTGACCATCATCTTCTTCGACAAAATGAAGTTCGGTAGACTGAATTATTTAATATTTCTCATTTCATACAATAACTATGTAATAATAATATTTCAGTTTATTTATACATTTTCATGTACTTCGAATGTTTTAGATACTCGTATTTTTGCAGTTAAGAATATAATTACATTATATGTGCAGATCTTGGATGTTTCAGCAAAAGTAAAGCCAACATTTCTATTTATTTCAATAACAAATTAAATCCTTAATAAATGAAAACTACAAAAACTATGTATATTTACTAAAAATTTTATTTCTGCAAAATATATTCACAAAAATTTAGAATTGAGTTCATGCAAACACAATGTTCCAAAGCTTAAATTAAATCACAAGAAATTTGAATGGTAAAGGTTCGTCCATTTTCATAAAACAAACTTCAAGGTTTAATTATAGAGAATTTTACTTGGTTCTTCAACTTTGGAGTTGTACAAAGTTTAGCATAAGGTCACTTGGAATGGTTGTGGAAATTGAAATTCTACTGCTTCTACAAGCAGTGAAAGTACTCCGCTTCTAGTTCATCTAGAAGATGTTCAACGAACATCTATGGAAATATTTAATTAAATAAATTTTAACTAGAAATACAATGAAATATACTTTTAAGTTAATAATTGTGTTTCTACAAGCAGGAATCTTTCATCAGGAGACATAATTGAACAGAGTTCCATGTACTCCTGATTAAGTCCATTTCCAAAGTTCCTTCAGCATAAACTGCAATTTTACTTCTGCACGATTTCGGTCATCTAATTATGAAGGCATACAGATTATCACATCATTATTATATTATCATCATATACTACCTATTATTGAATCACCCGCAGAAATTGTAGTAAGAGTCCAAAGTGAAGTTTTCACCAAGTACGTATGAATTAGAGGGAGATACCGATTGATGTTAAAGTAATCATTTCAAAGCCTTTTTTAAAAATCATATAACGATATATAATTCAAAGACTTTGAGAATCAGTTATCCAAACAATGTCACATCAGGGTAATAAAAATAAGATTATATTTTATAATCCTAGAAGCAATTGTCAAAAAAAAAAATTATTTTTAAAAAAAAATTTTTTTTCAAAAAAAGTTTTAAAACACAAATTTTGAACTATAAAATATGGATGAATTGGTGGAAGAATATTAGGAAGAGGCGTACTTACCATTAGCTCCAATAGCGTCCAATGCTATTTAACTGAAAAGAGAAATAAATAACGCAGTAAATTAATTAATGGTAAAATTTCTAAAAGTTCAAGAACTTACCATGGAGCAATTATCATATCATTAAAAGTTCTTGAGTGATCTTATTCCAATCACTCGTTTATATATCCATGTACCTAATATTGTTGTAATATAGATTTTCATGTACTTAAATTGATCAGTAGTTGCGCGACTTATCATTAAGTAATAGAATGTACTATATTATTTAAAACCGTCGATTAATTCGACATTTTAAGTATTTTAATAAAAGAAAGTTCTTCTCCAGAGACTTTCTTCTATTTCAAGTAGTAGTTCTTCTTATGTTTCTACATTTTTAGTTTCAGAAACTAATTTTTTTTTTTAAATTTTGAGTAACTTATTCCAAAAGAAATTTATTTTAACTGAAATGTATTGTATTTTCAATTAACTAAACAATTTACATATTTTTTAATAAGCTAACTAGATTAGATATATTTAATATAAAGAAATTTTTTCGAATAGAAGTGAATGGCAACAACAAAAATTCATTTTGAGACTGCAAGTACCGAACTTGTGTCCTGCCAAATTTGAAGCTCAGAGTCAGCGCACTCTATCCAACTGACCCAAACCCGTGCTTGACTTTTATGTTCGCACGTTTTTCTGGAGTTTTGTTAATTTGCTGTGTAATATAATTATTTTATAATTATATTATATTTAACATTTATTTTGCCTTATGACTATGTTATGTAGACAGTCATATGAAGAATGGTTTTGCTAGTTTTGCGCTTTTACTGGTCCTAACTATGAATAGTTTTAATGCTTTTTTTCAGATTATAAGATGATAATTTATGCGCCTTCGCTCCTAAAAGGTGTACATTTTGACATTAATGTGACAGTATGACAATAAACACAAAGCCTCATTGTCGTGAGCTTGCTTTCAATCTCAAAGTTTTAATTTACATTGACAAAAACAATCATTTTAAATTTTTATGTGACCATGACTGTCTGCATAACATGGTCCTTATTTTGAAGAGGAAAAATATATGTCTATTGTTTTCAGAGAACTATAAAATATTGAAAACTCATTCAGTAAATGCAGGTTTTTTGTTTTTTCACTAGGGGTTATGGTTCTGTTTTAAGCTGTACTTATTGCCTAGATATAGTTTTGATTTTTCAAAATTAGGAAAATAAACTATAGTTAATACCTTTATAACTTATTCTTCAGGTTATGGATTGAATACTATTTCGTGGTGTACTTATTTCTTATGTCGTATGCGTTATTAGCGACGTTAATCTTGTTTAATACTACTCAGACATGTATATATACTTAAATATTAACAGTCTTGTTTAAACTATTTCTTAAAAGTTCAATCATCTTTAAAAGCCAACAAATTTTAAACTATTTCTTAAAAGTTCAACCATCTTTAAAAGCCAACAAATTCTATCATTTTTATAGTCTCAGATATGATCGTTTAAAAATATAGACGATAGTGTAGACGATATAGACGATAGAACAAAGAGGAGGACGTTTATGCATTTTTAATAATAGTAACTTATAATCGGAATCCTGATGATGACTCTCAAGGAGAGTCGAAATATAGAGTTTAATAAAAAATATTCAAGTTTTATTATTGAACATGGAAAAAAACCGTTTAAAAATATGTTTACAATGCCAAATCTCAAAAATTTTAAAATTTTTTGCCGAGATACGGGTCTTCTTATTTAATGAATAGAGCTCGTTTCAACCAAATCGGAGGTTAGAGGTCATTTTTTATCAAAACCCGTCCAATTCATCTTTAACAATTTTTAAATTGACTTTGCTTACATCATGTATCTAAAACACTGTTTTTAAATGTAGAGTACCTGTAATATCCATAAATGACACTGTAAGAACCACTATATAGAAATTTCGAATAACGAACCACAACAACACACAAGAGAAAAAAGTATCTCAGGCATAAATTTTTGCAATTTTGAAACTTTTTTAATAACTTTAGATTATAGTATTTTTAAACAATTTCGTAAAACATTCAATCATCAAATATTTTTACTTTCACAAATTCTAAAATATTTCCTATGCGAGTACATCCATTATCTATTGAGCTTTTGGTGGCATACCAGGTTTTGGTTTGCAGCTTTTCATAAAGTCACGCATATCATTGCATTGTTGAGTGTTGTTCCATATGGAAGATGGACAATTATCCATTGTTTCACCGAAAACACACATCATAATCATGCCTGAACCAGGATTGCAACGTGCCAAGCGGTCACCAGGTGGTGGCGATGGACGTGGGTTATTCTTCATTTTGGCTTTAAATTCTTCACCTCTTGCGGCACAGGTTTTGAATGCGGCTGTGATTATTGGTACCATTTCACTTTGAACTTTAACAACTGAGGTGAGATAATTTTGCAGTTTAGCCTCATCGACTGTGTTCTCGTTCATGATGCCAGTTTCGTTAACCGCACATGACATAAAGCACTAGTATGAAAAAAAAATTTTTGTTAGGAAAAGTAACAGTAATTATATTTTTCTTCTAACCGGATGATGGTGATGATGATGGTGTGGTGGACGCGGTCTCGATGAAGAACTGGAGCTACTCGATTCGTTACTTGTCTCTGTAGATTCAGATGATGAACCTCCATACTGCTTGCATTTTTCTTTTATTTCACTGGTAATTAGGTCAGGAACTGGACAGCATGTTTTAGGATTCTAAAATTATGTTCATATTTTATATTTTCTTTCAATTCATCACAATAGAACTTACCATACGTTCAGGACGCTTACTGCAATCTACATCAGCACCAGCAGCAACATTGCACTGTAATTATAAAATTATTTGTTCTATAATATATTTTAATTTTTAATTATTTTAATTATTTTATACCAGATATAAAGTCGCTATAACAGATAAAATAGTAATTTTGACAAACATGATTATTCGTTAACACTTCGACGAGAACTACTGAATTCGTTGAATTGACCGCTTATAAATACAAAATTTCATTATAATTATTATGGAGAAAAAATAGAAATTGGTTGTTAAGTTAATTATATTAAATGCACAAAAAAGTTTGATATAATTTAAATTAAATTATAATGTTAAAATCAGATCACCAGATTTAATAACGTCGACTCACACAAGGCTCAAGCGAATCAATAGATTTGGTGAAGCAAAATTTATTGGTGCTTTTAGGAACAAAGCGATTACATTTTCATTATATAGTGTTAAATTGGGATAGTATTCTACT